CGCGCGCGCGCGTTGAATTGCAGAGGGAAGAAAAATAAAGCGTTGCAGCCTGTGATGTTTATCTCATTGAATATTTAATGCACGCTATACTGATAGACAAGCGTGTTAAATGCTCGGCTAAATTTTCTTTTCTTGCGTCTGAAGATACGAAGCGTGTAAAAGCAAATTATGTTGCACTTACTCATTTTTACCAATGAACAATTTCTAATCGGTGCATGAATTATGCATAAGTTTGAAAATAGTTTTGCGCTCGTAGGATGCATTGGCGGTTCCTTTTTCTCTCATTTTCCTTCGAAAAATTAAAATACCTAAGCTAAGCGAACGTAAGAATTGAAAAGTAATAAATAGACATTTTCCAGAACTATGTTCCAAATGGTGGACATGTCCATCTTGCGCTCGACGCTGAAAAACAATCATTAGATAATGCAAGCTACGCCAGTATGCATCCCTATATAAAATCTGAAATATTGCGTGAACGATTTGAAATCGAAAGACTCAAACTCAAGAGCCTTCAATTAGCGCTGCACACTAGCTCTTTCTCTGCATCGGAAGCCAGCCGTCAACCGTATACTCTCCTTTTTGCTCTCTCGCTCTTTCAAGCGGAAAGCCCTCGAGCGTGTTTCTTTACTTTCAGCAACGAGACAACGGAGCAAAGTACATTCTTAAATGATCTACCGATCGGAAAAGCCAAGCCTACCACAGTCATTAGTCACGAAGGCAAAGTACGGGAAAAATCGCGCCCTTGGCGTTTTAATTTCGTTCGGTCGGTCCGATTTTTCGTCGCTGCATTAGCATTGAAAAGTCGCGTGCGTGCGCGCGCGCACGTGAACATCGCGACGCTCTCGGTCCAGCGAATGAATGGACGGAAGATTGTATACAAATCGCGCGTGAACTCGCGTGAGCGCAACATTCGCGCCAGTCGATACAACGTTAACATTTATTACACACACGCACACACACGGAAAAACACCACGAGCGGAGATTGACCTTGTTCGAGCTACAGGCAAAGAGACGCATGCGCTCGCGCCCCGAGAAATGTGTATTACATTGTTGCCGATGCTTATCGAGCGCGTGTGGCTCGCCAGCTCGCGCAAAAACGAAAAAATAATCAGGATAACCTACACTTTTTCTTGTTTCGACTAAATGCTCGCGCTAAGCGATCTCCCTGGCTATGAAGCCTTGATCTTTTGCTGTTGTTCTTTCTCCCATTGTAATGTTGCACAGTCGTGCGAGCTGTAGTGCAAATAACTTCAATTTGCGAAACGAGATAAGCCTTTTTTGCGCACTTGTGTTGCAATTTACTTCGATTGAAATTAATGGCTGTATCTGTATTAGCAGCTGTATAACGTTCAAACTGAAGTACGTCAAGCGAGTATTATAATTTGTTTGCGTCTACTGATACGAAGATAAGCCTCATTCAAGCCCTATGCACTTAATGCAAATCAACTTCCGTATCATTTCGGCTTTATAATAAATATGTGTTCACAACGAACTACAAAACCTCCAATAGACTTTATTGCATCGCCAAATAAAAAATTAGGAAAACCTCGGTCGTTCGCGGAAAAATCAAGTCAACGAGTCCTTTGTGTCAATCTCTTGACCCGATCAGACCCGACAGACGTCTTGTCAAGCAACAACAGCAAAACAGACCACAAGTTTCATGGCTTTTGCTCAGAAAACCATCGAAGTAACTCAGCAGCGCTCAGCAGCGGCAACAGCAGCAGAGAAAGCGAAATCCTTATCGCGTGTTAACGGCAGAATCCTCTCTGAGAAAAGATACGCGCGCGTGCTTTTTTTCACGATTATTCTAATTAACGCGAGCGCGCGCTTATAATCGTCGGACAATCAATTAGATACTTCAAAGCTCCCGCGGAAGAGACTAGTTCCACTTTACGCAGAGAGGCCGATAAGCTTGCGCATCAAATAAAGATTAAACAACGCGTGCTGCAAGTAGATTCCAGCAGCAACAGCCAGCAAAAAGCGAGAGAGAGAGAGAGAGAGAGAGAACAAAACAAAAATTGTGAGAATGCAGAAAGGGGAGCAGCAGCAAAAGAATGGAGTACATAAATCTGTCTCGTGAATTTCTGATTAAGTCTAGGCTCACTTAAGCCCCGAGCGTATGCGCCATTCAACGGCAAGCGCGCGCACCGAGAGAGAGAGAGAGAGAGAGAGAGAGGAAGTCGATATATAGGCTGGCGAGCGAGCGAGCAACCGGTTTTCTCTTCGCACTTCGCCGCGGGAGCAGCAACGATCCGCGCGCCCCGTGAAAATGGAAAATTTTCAGTCCTCGCTGGAAATGCTTTTTGACCATTCTCCAATGGATGCCCGCTGTTTGATTGGGCGCTAAATTGACTGAATCTAGAATTGAATGACGAGCAAAAGTCTCGTTTATCGCAAGTAGCTTTATATGAGGGTGTTACTTTCTACAACGGTTTTTTTAATTTGTGGAATTAATGAGATGTGTTATTTCCTTTTATTTTTTTAGATTTTTTTGAGCTTATTTTGATTATTAAACAATTCCTTCCTATTTAAGTAGAAAAATATACATTTTCATAAATCACTTTCATTACAATAGATTGAAAAAAGACCATCGATTGCCATTATCATTTCAATTATCACGTCATTTTCTAAACTGCGTTTTGTTCTTCGCTAATCAATCACGGTAAACACGTACGCTATTCATACCAAATGATGCAGATATACGCTGACGATAATGCGACAGGTGTTAATTTTATTGCTTATTCAAGCTGCATTCAAATTTAGCAATTCTAAAATTTAAAAGAAAATAATTTATCGACCCGTTCAATAAAATTCCGAAAGAATTCGCTCGGTAGCTAGAATTATAACTAGGAATGAATTAATTTGGCCGAAGACAAAATCGCTAAAGCCGCTAATGACGGACTTGTCCTCATCTCCCTTTTTATCAGGTTTACATCGCACACACATTTGCATTCCTTGTGCACACGATCTGAATGCGAGCTCGCGCGCAAGTGAGTGTTATTTCAGACGTGTTGCATTATTCTAATCAAGTCCTAATACCTCCAGCTCGCAGAGTGAGAGAGAGAGAGAGAGAGAGACGACAAGTCTGGCCTTTTATTTGCGCGTAAAGTGCGGTCGCGATAATGAACGCGATTGGAAGCCCACTGGTTTAGTTTGCCAAGGTGAAAGAGGTTTTCTTTATTTTACTTTGCTTTCCCGAATAGATCACTTAATTTTCATCATAAGTTCTTACGATGGAATGTAATTGAAGCGTAAATATATACATATATATCTGTAATTACGAATTTACAATTAAATTAGATATTCAATTGGCATTAAGAAATATATATATATGTAACACTATTTATTTAATTGGCGACACAATAATCAATGTAATTTGTTCGAGAGTAGCTAGATTTTTTAAGTGTTCTTGCACAAACTTTTCCAAAATCAGAAACACGTATCAAAGTAAATGAAAAAATTGTCGCTCCATGATAGTTGACTTATCTGTAACGACATCATTATAAAATTATTGTTATACCGCAAGCAATAAATACGAAGATTGAGCTAATAATCTGATAGAGCCTCAAGTACCTAGCAATCAAACGACCTAACAATGTACGCTCAAAGGAAAAGGGCAAATACGAATAAAATTGATAGTTAGTTCCCAGAAACAAAAAAGTATAAAAAAAAGACAGATACTATCAAGAATAAATTGTCAACGCAGGCCCGTTCGGCGAAGAACGGTCTCTCTCTCTCTCTCTCTCTCTCTCTCTCTCTCTCTCTCTCTCTCTCTCTCTCTCTTTCTCGCTTGCATTTGTCCGGAGGAGATCTCGTGCATCAAGCACTAAAGCATGTAACGAGTGCTGCTGCGGTTATCGATGAGGCTCGGTAACGACGCTAATATTTCGATATAAAAGCTCTCGGCGGAAGCTTGATCTCTTGAAGTCCAGTATAAGATATAAGGGAGGCTCTCGTTACGCACGCTCTCCCGCGATTCGATCTATATATAAACACACTCACACAGCAATGCTCTCCAGGCTTTTACCATTTTAATTGCTCAAATTGGCGCCGAAGACTATCGACGAGTTATTGCACTGACTGCTCAGATATTGGCGTTGCAGAAAAACAAAACATAAATGCGGATGTACATAAATCCAATGATTAATGGCTTCATTGAGCTTTTGCGCGCAGGCTCCGATATATACCAGTGATTTATCCTAGTTACTGATGGATATACTATACTTGCATGTAGCTTGCACTGAGCGTGAAATTAGGAAGTATTAAATTCTTACGGAAAATCCTGTAGCTTTATGTTGAGAATTGGATGGTTATCGATCGGATTGCGCATTTTGAAATTTAGGATATTTTGATTAGAAAGAAAAAAAACACGATTCGAGGTAGAAAATTAACAAAGTCTTTTAATAAAAAAATCTTCCTTGCGTGCGAGGTATCAACAAAGTTAAAAGCCTTGTGTTGAAGGCACTTGTAAATGCTATGTACATCGTTTACAGTTTAAAAAAATATCAGATAACTATGTACTTTTGTAATAAAAAAACAAAACAATTGAGCTTCAAATTATCGCAGTGTCGTGTGTATCTAAGAAGCTCTCGTCCACGTTGCTATTGGTTTTTCTTGTGGTCTGATTGCTCCCTTTCGTAGTACGCTCTTCCGTAGTATCTATACTATTTTTTCTTTTTTCTACGAAACCAAGATCAAATCAATTCTTAACATGAACACGAGATTCACTTTATAATTGACGTATAGCATGCAACACTATTGTTGTTTTTCTCTTATTTAATGATTAATTTTGTTGATACCATTACCCACAATCAAGATTTTAGCGGTTTTTTGTTTATACGATATTTTTTGTTGAAACTATTGAAAGAACTTAGAGTAGAATCTGAGATTTGACAATCGTGAATCTTATTTGAAATACTTACAAAAAACAATGTCTACATATAACAAAGTCAGCTTTATTTACTTAAATCAATGTTTATATAAAAAAAATGGTCGTGGTATACAAGTACATAATATGTATCAGAACATATCAATCAATTTTCTTCTGAAAATTATAAAGCGAAGTAACAAAGTGTGTTTAAAAAGTAATGTTTTCAAAAATAAAAAAATTTTTGTTTTATCGAGGAACAAAAAAGCTATATATTCCGTCATATTCTATTTGATAAATCAACTTTGGTACGATAAAATTTCCATTTATAATAATTGAATCATCACGTGTTAAAAGTGAAATTATACAAATGTAAATAAAAAAACTTATTTAAAATGAACTAAAAATAAAAGCGTAATGCTTAATAATTATCACACAAATATTTCAATATTTGTCTATTCGTTAACAAAAATATAATTATATATGGACTTTCTTGAACCTCTACACACTTATGGCTGAGATGACGTGCATCCGATGTCAAGTTACTGCCCAAATTCAATAGGCGTTTTACATGATTCTACAATAAGACCCAATAGATCCAGCAAGGCTGCCAGTTTCTAATCTAAGTATTGAAATATATATTTATGTAATATCTGTCACCATTAAAACATTGAATGGTTTACTATTACAGAAACTAACACATAACAAAGTTAAAGTTGTATTAAGATAGTTTAGAGGTGAATGAAAAACATTAAATGTAGATTAAAAAGTAAGAAACTTAATTAAAAATGTGTGAGCCTATTCAAACTACTTTCTAGTTACAACTGACACATTGAATTATGATTTGAATTACTACTTACTCAGAAATTTTCCGTTTTCGTTCTTGTTTTATTGGCTTTTCGTTCTGTAAACTTGCTTGATGTTCCTTATATCTTTGTAAATTATATTTTGTAGATTTGAATAAATCCTTTATAACAGCACTGATTTGTTCTTTTTGATATAAACCTGCATAAGCAGTGGTATCTGATAACCACGCCACATATGCACCTCCTGAAAATATATTTTATATTAATATTATTCAATCTATTACATTATTTCTCTTATTATTTATTACCATATGGACTGAAAAGCTGTGTTAAATCACTATACTTCCACTCTTTAGGAAACGTAATATGGAAGACGTGATCTCTATTTGGATTAGCTGAAACATAATTAAAGAAATTAAGAAACATTTGTTTCAGTAAATTCCCATTTGCGAGATTAATATTATCAAATAATTAAAAACTTACGATCTCTGCCTGCAAGATTAATAAAAGGTATATCTTTCAACCTTGCTATTAAAAGCCTAAAAAATAAATTCATGACTGATTATTATTTGCCTAGTATTTATTAAAAATAAAAAGAGAAATACACTACTTATTCAAATAAGGTTTTAATAGCGGAGAATCTGCTAAAACTACCGATTCCGATGGCGTATGTATAGCACCTGCAAATAATAAGTTTATCATAAAAATTTCTGAGTAGGAAGATAACTTCAGAGAAATCACGATTAGTCTCACCTAATCTATTACTCAATGCAATAAAACAAAGTCCTGTAATATAAGCGTCATACCCGGCTTCGTGCAATTTATCTTTTGAAATTTTATAACTTCGATTTTCTACGTTTTCCATCTCGGGTATCGAAAAAGGTGGTGCTTGTAAATGATCTATTAGATAATCGAGAACTGAAGGTACTGAAGTATTAAATATTGACGACTGGCAGATAATTTTTGTATCTAAAAGTCTAAATTGCAAATAAAATTAATAATTAGAATTTCATGAAATTTAAAATTATATAAAATTGACAACCTTGGGAAAAGGCAGTGTACCAAAGATTTAAATTCTAAGTAACATTGAGGTAGAGGACCGAAAAACTGATGAACTATATGACATAAATCGAGTAACATGTTATGTCCAACAATAAGCTTACCCTGAAATATAAAGATTTATTATTGTATATAAAACGATTATGAATTTTTAAAGGAGTCTATTATTGAACTTACCGAATCGGCAATTTTTCTTAAAAGAGCACTAAGTCCTACAGCTTCTTGTACATCAAGTTTTTCTTTCTCCCGCCTATCGGCTTCTTTTTGTTCTTCATCTTCCTTGTTACCTAGCTTATATGCAATAATATGAGGCATACTTCCAGTGTCCGTTTTTGTTTCCAACCTAATTTTGTCTGGCCACCTTTGTCGTACTTCCTGATATATAAGTCGCCTAATAAAAGCGTTACATCTGTCTAATACAAGCTCTTCTTCTACTGATTCAATAAAATTATCTATCCTAGCACTTTAAAAATATAGGAAAATATTACAAATCGTATATTCGAGTGAAATTTCATAATTTGAATCAAATTAGTTTGAAAGCATTAAAATCAAACATATTCTCACCAAATTTCTTCAATTTGAGGCTTATCATCGTCAGAAATTGGAATAAGATCTAAACCTTCATCTCGTAGCTTTTGCTTCTCTTCCATTTTCTTATTTAACTTATCCTCCTCGTCTTTTGTTAAATAAGGAATTCCCTGTTTAAAGAGTTTATTAAAATCAAAGCCTTGATTAGCCAGAAAAGCTATGGAGGAAGCTTGACACTTAAATCTGCAGTCAGGTGATGATCTGTCAAAAGGTCTTGGAAACACATAAAAGTTATACGCTCTCTGACTGTACCTGAAAATCAAAATATTATTATTATTATTGATAATTTTCATAGCAAAAATGGTTTGGCTTACTTGTTAGTTTCTGAGTTGTATGTGAATGTAGCTAGGCCAAATTGTACAAGTAGAAAGTCCATAGATCCACTTCTCAATTTAGTATAGTACTGAGCTGGAGTGTCATAAGCATTGGCATCAGGTCCAGAATTCAACCCAGTGAATTCACCATCAATTGCTAGAAAGGTCGCTTTTTGCAAAACGTCATCTAGTTCTGCCAGAACATTTTGGAAATCTAAAATTTAATAAAATCAGTTAAAAGTACAAATGTTTACAAACATCTCGAAATTTAAATACTATTGTCAGCATCAGAATACATTCATAACTGAAATGACAGACTGAAATCAACACTTCTGTTTTCTTCAAGTTACCATTGAAAATAAGAAACATCGGATAACGTAACGTATTGCAAAAGCCCGCGAAAAGTCGACATCGCTGAAGTGAAATTGGAGCAACGCGTCAGCTAAAAAAGAATCGCGAAGCGAGTCAAAATTTCCCAGAGGCCGGTTTCCAAGGTCAAAATCAGGACGTGTTTAGTCACGTCATCGAGGCGATCGAACAATTGTCATGTACAGCGCGTACACACTGACACTATTTATTTTGACACATGTAGTGTCCCAATTTCTAACCTCCAATTAGTAGATTTCCTGTAAGATTTCTTTTATAATTTTTAATGACTTGCTTGTACTGTTCTTATATAAATAAATGAGTTAATTATACGAGCATGCCAAGGTTAGTTTTTTATACTTAAGTAAATAGCAATATTTTAATAACTTACTTGTACGAGTGACTTCCATGATGTTGCACTGTATCGTTGCTTTGTAGTCTTAATTTCGTGGCTCTTCTACGTAGATTCTTGATTCAATTACGTACCAAAATTGCCCGTAGACATGTCTTTGATTTGCTCGAGTCCAAAATGTCGTGAATGCCTCTTTTTCTTGTAATGCTTCTTTCTTTGTACCTTCTACTCTTCTAGCGACTCAGCAACAACGAATGTTTTCGTTTTCGTGCACGTACAACGTACAAACGTTCCAGTACGACAGTGGACTGGCACATCAGAGAGAGGCACTCCCGCGCACTCTAACGGCACTCGCTTTGACATTCCGACATTTTTGACGCGGTGAACGTTTCTCATTTTAAAACAATGCTGTTGCGCGGGTCTTTCCCTGACTTGCCGTTAATCGGCAAAATTAACTTGATTGGATATATTTCCTCCATACTTTATTAGATTATTACCACAGTTATTAAATCATGATCGTTAATTTGATGCCAATTATCTTTAGTTCAACAGATACACACTTATATACTACATGTATACATATGTGTGTGTGTGTTGGCGGGCATATGTGTGTTTTTTCTTGAGTGTTAATTATAGATTATTTACAAAAATGTTAATGGTTGACAACAAATATTCATTATATTATACTATTTTTAGCTTGAAAAGAATTGGAGAATTAAGTTTCTCAAAATGGCTGAAACTGTTACAGTAAAATAAAAATGAGTTAGTGGAACGTCAGGAGTATCAATTATTTATCATTTATTTTATTCGTCATCATTTGATATTTAACATATCTTATTATCTTACTTTTGCGAATGAAAATTATCGATGTTCCTCTGTCTTTTGTTTAAAAGTACTTCAAAAAATGTAATTATTATCTTGTAATAGATTGTAGTTCATTCATTGATTAGAAATATATGCTACAAAAATTCATTTGAGTGACTAATATAAACTATTATAAATTATACATTTATGAACAAACATTAAAATAACTACTATTACAACTAATATGTAGTACAAATAAATAACAGCAAAAAAATGTTCGGGTTCAATGTTAATTTTACATAAAATATATTGTAGCAAAAACGTAATGTTTTATTTTTCCGATGATTATTACGACGTAACTAGATGGACCAAATTTTCGGGAAAAAATAGATAATAAAAAATAGTCTCATATAATATCGTTTTATTTTCATAACGACGCCATAGTTTTTAAAAAAGTTATAATTAAAAAAGGATGGTTTTTTTTACCTTATCTTATATTTTCCATGTATAAGAGACATACTTTGTTCAGACATTAACAATAACATTTCCAAGTTAACAAAAGGCATAAATTTCAAGCTATGTTAAAACCACCTTAATTGTTTATTTTGATTAAAGAAATTTTTTTTCAATAAAATATCTAAAGAGTTTTGTATGAAAAATCTGAACACTTGAATTATTGTCTCCATAGATTTCCTGGTAACTTGAAGCTTTATTTTAAAATGTCCATTCTTTAATTGAAAATAGTGAAAATATCGTAACAAAAAAAACATGACTTAATTAATTTGATAATTTGATCCTTAAAGAAGCGATCTCTTAATGCAGCTGTTAATATATTTATTTTGTTTGATAGCTACTATTTTACTATTTTACTCAAAAAATTATATAATTTGCTCTTTGATGTATTCAATTTTTTTCTCTCTTTCTTTCTACGTAACAACTTTGTATGAGAATTTTTGTCGTCTTTTGATCTGCCAACTCATTTTCATAGCCCCATACGACAGACATTTGAAGCAGCTGCGTTAATTCAACAAAAGCAAGAGAGAGGGAAAGCGGCCATTCCTCTTGGTTCGGAGCAGCTGCTACAAAATACTTAAAAGGGAGCGGCAAGCTAGGTGTCAGCATTCTCTTTTCAACGATCGTTCGTATAGTATATTACGGAGACTTTTCTCATTCAGCATCACCATGCCTCCGAAAGCAAGTGGCAAAGCCGTAAAAAAGTCGGGAAAAGCTCAGAAGAACATCACCAAGGGCGACAAGAAAAAGCGTGGAAAAAAAAGGAAGGAATCCTACGCTATCTACATCTACAAGGTCCTGAAGCAGGTTCACCCCGATACTGGAGTTTCTAGCAAGGCGATGAGCATCATGAACAGCTTCGTCAACGATATCTTCGAGCGCATTGCTGCGGAAGCCTCTCGACTTGCTCATTACAACAAAAGATCCACCATTACCTCTCGGGAAATCCAGACTGCCGTCAGGCTTCTCCTTCCCGGTGAACTGGCCAAGCACGCCGTCTCCGAAGGCACAAAGGCCGTCACCAAATACACCAGCTCCAAGTAAATTCCCTTCTTTTCCCCGCACCAATGTTAAATCGGTCCTTTTCAGGACCACCAATTTCATCAAACGTATATCAAATTTATTCATAAATCATATATTTGTATTATTACTTTTATTAATTAAATATATTATGTTTTTTAAGTCCAAGTAATTTCAGTCGGCGAATAACTTTTATCGTACTATAAGAACTTAACACTAATTTTTCTTATTTCCAAAATGTTCGCCGATAATTTGCAATAAGTAGAAAATCGAATCTCCCCTTCAAAGTCCTAATTTGGAATTTTTAAAAACCATAAGATTACGTATCTAAATGTACAGCTATTTTCAAATTTTCGTATCGAGAAATCAATTTTCTTTCGTATTGGTAAAATATGAGGTAAAGTCGTCCAACGATCAGATGTTACCCAAAAGCCTGAATCTAAAACACAAACAAAAATAGCTCTATTATTACTGCAAAAAATTGCAACGGATTTTAGGAATGCTGAATTTCGAAGATACGATATTAGAAATTAATTTTGTATATAGAAATATCGTTTAAAATAATCTTAAAGTTTAATTAATGCTCATTGTATAAAGCTGATTCCAACAGCAATACAATCACCCATAATGCAGCGTTATTGGCCAGTCAGCTAAACTACCTCGACGAATAAAGTAAAGTATAAAATGATTTAATAAAATGATTATCATAAAGTAAATAAAAACTTGTATAAAATAGGGCTTCACAGGGACGTAAATTTTTTTTTATTTATTTTAAAAAATGACGAGTCGCCGATATCCAGCGTTGTGATTGGCCAGTGCTAGAATAGAGCTCGAAATTCTGTATTTCCATATACTTTAAAATATTTTTATGATATATCTAAGTGAGATTTTTATTTCAATAGTAAATTCAATTTATGAATGATTAACACAAATAATAATCTGCAAGAATGGAAATACGCCGTTAATAAATTTTTTTGAGAACAAGGCGTTTTGTTTCGAAATTATCATTACAATCATTAATTTTATAACCACCTGTGATAATGAAATTAATATTATAGTGTGAAAATTTGATAGGAAGAGAAAAAAATGAATAGAATAAAATAGACGAGAATATATTTTTATCTTTTGTACATAGTAAATTAAGAAGTATATGAGCAATGGAAATTGATGATTAGAATATTAAACTTATTAAATTTGAAGAATATTCACAGGTATTTTCATAGAGGCATGAACGAAAAGTACGTGTTAAACGCATCACTCTTACTCATATAAGATTGAAGTCATAATCACTACTAAGTATGTAAAGTTTAGTAATGTATAATAGTATAGCTTCATCGATCGTAGATTGAATTAATCTTTTGGGTGATTTATCTTGAAACGAGTAAAAGTTCATCAGTTTTTATGAAAAAATGGTAAAAAATTCTATTTTTATTCATCAATAATTATTGATGTATGTAGTCTATCTGAAACAGCATGACTTATTCGTACCTATTAGAATCTCCAAGCAGGCACGAAAGAGGTTCAAAAAATGTAATAACAGAAAAACAAAAAGAGTGCCTGAAGCACACTAAATAACACTAGTAAGTGTATAAAGCATCGACATTCGCTCGTCGGAGACTGTACCTTTCTCTCCTGATCCTAGACGGGCAGCATGGAGTTACTTTAGTTTGGAGGAGCGTTTTTAATGAAAATATTACTGTAGATACTATATTTCACTCTAAATTCAGCTTTTTAGTTGAACAAAAATTTATTGATAAATTATTTGTGGTATAAAGAAATTTTTGCATACAGGACCCATTTCTGTATTTAATCCTAATTAAATAATAACAGGATTTAAGACAAAATATTAAATTAATAAAATTAACAATACTAATGTGATAGAATACGTCTGTGGCATTAATAAGTTTGATATACATTTGATGAAATTGGTGGTCCTGAAAAGGACCGATTTGATGTTGGGTGGGGAAAAAAAGGGAATTTACTTGGAGCTGGTATATTTGGTGACGGCCTTCGTACCTTCGGAGACGGCGTGCTTGGCCAGTTCACCAGGAAGGAGAAGCCTGACGGCAGTCTGGATTTCCCGAGAGGTAATGGTGGATCTTTTGTTGTAATGAGCAAGTCGAGAGGCTTCCGCAGCAATGCGCTCGAAGATGTCGTTGACGAAGCTATTCATGATGCTCATTGCCTTGCTAGAAACTCCAGTATCGGGGTGAACCTGCTTCAGGACCTTGTAGATGTAAATAGCGTAGGATTCCTTCCTTTTTTTTCCACGCTTTTTCTTGTCACCCTTTGTGATGTTTTTCTGAGCTTTACCCGACTTCTTTACGGCTTTGCCACTTGTTTTAGGAGGCATGGTGATGCTGAATAAGTAGTCGTCGTAATATACTATACGAACAACGATTTAAAAGAGAATGTTGGCGACCAGGTGGCCGCTCCCTTTTAAGTAATTTGGAGCAGCTACGGAGCACCAATGAGGAGCGGATTCTCCCACCACGACAGAGAAATGCGCAGCTGTTTGTGCGCTGTTAGTCGGCAGAAGTGTATATAAAGGTAAGACTTGGCTAACTTGACACAGTACTGTTCAGTATATTCTCGTTTACTGTACGAGTATTTATTGTATATCAAAAGAATCAACATGTCTGGAAGAGGCAAAGGTGGTGGTAAAGTCAAGGGAAAGTCAAAGACCCGTTCAACCAGGGCTGGACTTCAATTCCCCGTTGGTCGTATCCACCGTCTCCTTCGTAAAGGCAATTATGCTGAACGTGTGGGAGCAGGTGCTCCAGTATACCTCGCTGCTGTTATGGAATACTTGGCAGCTGAAGTTCTGGAGTTGGCCGGCAATGCCGCTCGTGATAATAAGAAGACCAGAATTATCCCACGGCATCTCCAACTTGCCATCCGCAATGATGAAGAATTAAACAAACTGCTCTCTGGTGTCACCATAGCCCAAGGTGGTGTTTTGCCTAACATCCAAGCAGTTCTCTTACCCAAGAAAACTGAAAAGAGCTCTTCGTAAATTTTTAAACCCTCATTTGAAATAATAATCGGCCCTTTTCAGGGCCATCATATATTTTAAAACGTATGCAAATAATTTGAATATCCGTCTGATGTAATGTAAGAATGTTCACATTCAAAATATCCAATTTAGATATTTTTGTCAAAATTTCTAATTAATGACGTTATTTTATTACAAATCTTTAAAAAAATCACATCGTAATTAAGTACATCAAGATAATATCAATTCTCTAGTTTTGTCGTTAACAAATTGATCGAGAAAACTTTCTAAATGTTACTAAATTTCTAGAATTAAAAATTGTAACATTAAATACATATACTACTAACATAGTAATATAAATAAACTGCCTTACTATATATAGATATGTATGCCACACGCATGTAAAGATGTAAATATATTATACTATTATATAGATACATATACTGCCAACAAGATGAAGTAAATTTTCAATAACTATAACTTTTGTATAATTAAATCCTGCATATTATCTTTCCTCAACTATGTAACATCAAGTAGTTAGATGATTAAGGAGCCATGTTGGATCATTACTGAGGATTCCAATCCAACTAGGACAAAACACCTAATAATTTTAAACTATTTTTGAAATCTCATTTTTTAATCATACAAATCAAACGAATAAGATGAATAATCGTGATTTACACTTTATTTCTGAAATTTTAGGATGAATTTATAATATTCACCATGTTTTAAGATAAATGAGACTTATCGTAAATAGTTTACATGTTATTTGAATGTACAGTGACAGTAGTATTCCAAAAGATTTAAACATACATATAAATAATCTCGTAAATATTGTTAACTATTATAACTTTCTTCGTGTAATGGTTGTTTTGCGACTTAAATGAGAGTATCAGAAAGATTATACAGTAAATAAAATCAAATATATTATATATATGTAATGTCAAAATTGAGAAATTCAGTGGATGTAAAACCTAATGATATTCTATAATGCCCAGTTTGAAAGTATAGCTGCTTATGGTATTATAACCTATATGAAGACGTGCCTCTAGTTAATGTAATGAATAATGTCCAAAGAATACAACATAAACTTATCAAAATTTTGGTCAATAATTGTAACATATCACTCCATCCTTCTATGAAAGAACACTTGGAAGCAGTAAAGGAGAACTAGTAATCGAACCAATAAAAATGAATTCCTAAGTTCAAAACATATTACTAGAAATAAATTGTTATGTTGAATATGTTAACAAAACTCCGAAGTCATTGATACCTTGCTACTAATATATAAATATAGAGAAATGAGGAGTCTCAATATTACAAACAGTAGTAAACTTAAAATGAAAAAAAGGGTTCAAACTAAAACCAAATTACTAATATGGACATGGTAAGCAGAATTGCCTTGACCAGCAGATAACGTAGTACTGCTATCCAAGAAATTAATGTAAGTAGAGTAACTTAGTTGTTTTGTTATTTTTCATATTTTCTTATTTCTATTAGTTATAACTTAAAACTAAGTTTTATGTATTTATGTATGCTAGCTTGTATAGATGTAAGTGGTTTTGTAGGTTGCACAATGGTATGTGAAAAATAAATCTTTATAGACTAAGTATTGTTTTTATTTCAAATGATATGTCAATCATAAACCTATTACGATGTTGCTAATATTTGATTACATAACTAATCGTTGATTTTGAGATTTTTTAAGTTAGACAATCTAGTGTATTCTACGTTAGAAATATATGTTGGCCCTGAAAAGGGCCGATTATTGTCAGGATGGGAAATCAAATTAACCGCCGAAGCCGTAAAGAGTGCGGCCTTGACGCTTGAGAGCGTAGACAACATCCATAGCAGTGACAGTCTTCCTTTTTGCATGCTCGGTATAAGTGACAGCGTCACGGATGACGTTTTCAAGGAACACTTTGAGGACACCACGGGTTTCTTCATAGATTAAACCAGAGATACGTTTAACACCACCACGACGAGCCAGACGGCGAATAGCAGGCTTAGTGATGCCCTGGATGTTATCACGCAAAACCTTGCGATGACGCTTGGCTCCTCCTTTTCCCAAACCTTTACCTCCTTTTCCACGTCCAGTCATCTTGATGCAAAGAAAATTAGTTAACGCTTACGTCGAATGAGCGGAAACTGATGCTACGGAGCTCAAAATGCCGTCTATTTATACCCTCAAAAAACTGGTAGTCCCCACTACAATGTCGCAGCTGCTCCAAAACGAAATCCCGCCATAAAATTTTTTCACCCCTGACGCAAAACAATAGAGCAGCTGTCGCTGTAGTGAATCCCCACCATAGAACTTATGACCAATTGGAGAGAAGCAGTGTAGTAACTACGGGTATAAATAGAGGCGATTGTACCAATGCTGAACATCTGTTTCGTCCAGACGTAACTGTACTACAATGGCACGTACTAAGCAAACCGCTCGCAAGTCAACGGGAGGAAAGGCTCCTCGTAAGCAGTTGGCCACCAAAGCTGCCCGTAAGAGCGCACCAGCAACTGGAGGAGTAAAGAAACCTCATCGTTACAGACCTGGAACTGTTGCTCTTCGTGAAATTCGTCGTTACCAGAAGAGTACTGAGCTTCTCATCCGCAAACTGCCCTTCCAACGCCTTGTACGTGAAATCGCACAAGACTTCAAAACTGATCTCCGATTCCAAAGCTCGGCTGTTATGGCACTCCAGGAAGCCAGCGAGGCCTATCTCGTTGGTCTTTTTGAAGATACTAACCTCTGCGCCATTCATGCCAAGCGTGTCACCATCATGCCAAAAGACATCCAATTAGCCAGACGTATCCGTGGAGAACGTGCCTAAATTAACATCCTTCCTTCCAATAATCGGTCCTTTTAAGGACCACTATATAACTTAAACGTTGGATAAATATTCGTTTTTATTGTATTAAAATTCTATCTCGTCTATTCGCACAATTAAAGACAAATATTTGCCGGAATATTCTGCTGAATTTCATGTTAATATATCGTAGAAATTGTCTATACATATCTTAATATGTTAACTATAAATAAATTTAAAGCAAAAAAAAATCCCTATCCAAAGAAACAAACAATGAAAAATAGAGAATTATATTTTAAAAATCATACGAAAAGTACAAAAAAAGAAAAATAAAATGCGTAAAAAGTTGAGTTCATTTAGTGAACACAGATAAAGTCTGATTTATTAATTAAGGTTCTCCCACTGAACCATTTCAAATGCTTTGAGGAACAAAAAAGGTACAACGCAGTCTGCCTATCTCAGCCCTTTCTCAAATCTACACCTATACGAGAGAAATTGCCAGTCAAGCAATCATAAACCAATGAAGTAACCAAAAACTAGCTAAAAAAATGAGGAAAAGTTAAGAGTAAAACTAAATCTAAACGCCAGCCCGTGGAGGAAATGCAGCTTACATTGTGGTTTTCAACTCCAGAGAACTTTTCGAAGGTGTTTTTCACCCACCATCACCGAGAGATCAAAAAAGTCCAATGCGGCTCAGGTCAGCCTATTCCCGTATCTGTATCCGTCCGGGAGAAATTAGCCAAACAGCAACAAACGAATCAAAAAACCAGTTATTAATCAAGCGAAGCGAGTTAAAATGAAGAGGAAAGGAAAAGAATATTTATTGAACAGCTGAGACATGTTAGCGATCTCGTAACAGCACGCTTAAATTTAAATATAATATATTCCACCGTTAGCAGACATACCAACTCACATAGTCAGTTAAATATTGCCGTTATACTTTTATATTTTATGAGGGATATTCAAAAAATTGAGGAAAATACAGTAATAAACAAACAGATAAGCAGACCATATGAAGTTTTTACGGTTCCATGTGTAGGGTAAGTGAAGTAAATAATGTGTTCAACGTTTGATGATTTTGTGGTCCTGAAAAGGACCGTTTAGATGAAAAAATAAGAGAGAGCGCAGCCCTGAGAAGGGCTAGGTTTTGAAGCATTTATTTTTTAGGAGCAGCTTTGGCCTTTGGAGCGGCTTTCTTAGGCTTTGGGCTCTTGGGTTTTGTAGGCTTAGCAGTCTTAGCCTTGGCTGGTTTTGCCGCTTTGGGCTTTGCTGGACTTTTCTTGGTAGCAGCTGGTTTCTTTTCCACAGGCTTTTTGACAGCGGGTTTCTTTACTGCGCCTTCTTTCGGCTTGACTGCAGCTTTGGGCTTCTTTACTACTGGTTTTTTAGCAGCTGCAGGCTTTTTAACTGCTGCAGGTTTCTTTACCACCTTTTTCTCGCCCTCTCCTTTAACTGGAAGCTTGAAACGACCGGCGGCTCCGGTCCCCTTAGTCTGAACGATGGTCTTCTTAGTAACAGCAGACTTGAGATACTTCTTGATGAAGATAGACTGCTTATCTACGTTGACTTTATAGTTGGAGGCAATATATTTTTTGATAGCCTGCAGCGACGATCCCTTTTTATCTTTCAGGGAAGTGATGGCAGCTTTGACCATCTCTGCAGCTGGTGGATGAGTTGGCTTCGTTGCCGGCTTTTTAACTCCTGATTTTTTTGGAGCCTTTGACTTTTTTGCTGCAGCCTGGGCTGCTGGAGCCTCGGCCGCTGGAGCTGCTGTGGTTTCAGTCATCTTGAATACAGAATACGAATGAGCTACAGCTACAGATGTCGAAAGTGGAAATAACAGCGTATATACGACCGGCGTGCGGACCTCGGAGAGAGTCGGTACTAAAGCAGTACGCTTGTTGCTTTGGATTCATAAAGAAATTGTTATCTACTTTTCATATTCAGATTGGATTTTCTCAGTTGTATTCATACTAATTGGCTTTTTTTTTTAAATATTCGTTAAATAAAAAGTTTAATGTACTATTGCCGCATAATAAATGATTCTTTGAATTAATACATCTGAAACTAGGAACCCCATATGCATTGTGTTCCACTCTATCGTCATGGTTTTTATGACAAAAGTCACTTTTAATAACGATTATGAATATATTTACAATCTGCATTATATTGCAAATTATAACAGAACCTTCAGATTTTCAATTCATTACGTCGGTCATGGTGTAAATATGACCATTCATTTTATTCGAATATATTTCAATAATGGAATGTTTGTTCCGATCAAAGCCTCTATGCTCCTATCTTCATGATTGCTATGGTTATATGGTGTTAATGCTTTTTATTCAATTTATTAAGTTTAGATATGATTTCAATTTTTTCTATACTTTTTTATTCTATATACAACTAGAAAATATTAAGTATTAAAATATGTTTTGTAAAGTATTACGCTCTAACTACTCAAGAGTAGATATACGGAACTGCATGTAAAAAATTAATATTTTTTCATTTAGTTCAACAGTTTGTGTTTTTCTTTCTTTGGTAAATTATAAAGAAATACTCTATTTTTATATTATTAACTATTTATAGAATTAATATTTTTGTAATATAACATTAGATAAAGTATTAAAATTCATTCCCGCCAAAATATCACGCAAATATAGAAGCGCGGCAGATTTCCCGCCAGCAGTATATTTATTTATTCCGACAAACTTAAAATTTTAGTCATGGATTTTATTTGAACTAGTTATCACAATAAAAAGAACATTTATAAAATTAAAAATTGTTGAAGTGAAATATATTTATTATTAAAATTTAAAAGTCTTAACTTATTGAATAATGTTTTTATTATAAGAAAGAAAGATAGCACCATTCTGATCCTAAATTTTTCTCAAACTTGGTAAATGGCTTTCTTTTTTGTAAAAATAATTAGAAAAGTTTCGGAAAACTTGCATCTTTTATTCGGGATTTATTAAGCTCTACGTCTAATGTCCTGGAAAATCAAGTTCGTAATTAAAGTGAAATGTTTCTTTAAATAATAAAACTGTTTAAATTTTATTGTAATCGATATAAATCTGAAATAAAATTCTATTTTTTAAATAACATTTTTAACAACAGACGGACTGCTCAAATATTATGCCACTTTCATATTTGTATATACAACCTTTATTATTTTAATTAAATTATTTTACTAAAAAAATTATTTTCTTATTAATTTTTTTTTAACTGAAGAATTTAATGGCAAGCTTTCTATGGTAAGTCTCTATACACTTCACTATCATATAAGATATTTCAGGTTAGAGACAAACTTGATTTTAATTTTTTAATATACAGATGTCAAGCTCTGTAAAACTCAAAAAGATCTATGGAATATCCTCTAAGCTTTTCCATTTTTTGACAATTTTAAAATAGAGGAGATAAATTACTTTAAATAGATTTTTCAAGTTTTTCCTTGATTCTATGGAACTTTTTTTAACAAAATAAGATTAGAGCGCACTCTATTAAAGAATAGTGAAGGTCCTAAAAATGTTTTATTTTCATTAATTAATTTAATTTAAGAGAAAACATTTAGAAATATCTGCTCAACTGGTAACACTGTACTTTATTAATTTTGTTAGAATTTCAACGAAATTAATAACGACAAGTGATATTTTACTTTCAAGCTAATTGTTCACTTATAATTGCATATTTTACGGTTTATTATATTTGAACACATTTTAATCTTATAATATTTTTTTTGTAATATCAATTTAACTACCAAATAATAACATTTTCATTGCAAATGAAATTACCAAAAATATTGAAAACTGTACTGTCAAAGTTAATAACTGTTAATGTTAATTTAGTTTAAATATCTTATATTTATTATAAGAAATAAAATATAAATGTTTTAAAATTCTTTATAAATTTATTAAATAAAGTAGACGCTTTAAAATTAATTTACATGAACATTACTGGAATTTGAATTTCCCTCGAGATTGACTAAGCCATGTGTCTTTTGGAACGCATGCGCGACTTTATCGGCTGATGGCTGATGTTGTATATCAAAGTATAAAGCTATTTTGACGAGTTAGTGAACACGTGTGACGTAATATCGTCTGATTCTAAGCAGTAGTGCGATTGGTTAATACGTGGTCGGATGATCGCGGCGCGTTTTGTTTTTTGGCTTTTATTGCGTTTGACACATTCTCGACTGATCCTCGTGTGTACCTCCGTATGTTGTAGAATTTGTGAAAATATAAGGGTTTAATGTGACGAATAAAGTGGAGAACAAGCGTCGTATCAAAATGAGCGATGGCGATACTTGGACTCCGGTCCAAGACAATGACTTTTCTAGTTTTTCAGCTAATGACGGTTTCAATTTGAACGACATGACCGGTTTCGATGGTATGTACACGCATGTGTCATATTGTTGCGTTGGTTACTGCTTATTTGAAAAAATCATTCCTACTATTGGCTATCCAACCAATAATATATGGCTCGTTTCTTTTTTCTTTAAGCTAAAAACACTTGAATTATTTATTAGGTGTCATTTGTTATGATGACGCAAACTTGCAAGTACATTCGGAAGCTTTGATGTTCTGGTTTTGCATTCATTTCAATTGTAGTTCAAAAATTAATCATAACATTTTGATGTAATTTAAAAAATATATAATCTCATTTATTTACATTTAACAAATTGTTTGATAGCTTCATACTTTGCAACGTTTTATGTAAATTGAATTTGGAAGACTGCATAATTCTGATAACTTAACTTTATTTATAGATCTGCTGTCTAACTGTGAAAATGAGCTGTTAAGCAATGGAAGCTTATTCAGTGATGAACACTTGCTATCTGAGCTGGATGATTCTTCTTTGCCAATGGAAAGTGGAAATCTCGAATTTAATTTTTTAAACTCCAATTCTGTCGAAAACAAGATAGATCCATTATTTCATGAAGTTCCGAATGTGAAATCGAATGTAACCGTATTACCTGCTCCAGTGCAACAGCCAGTCCTTTGTCAGACACAGATGGATATTGCTCGGCCAATACAGCAAAATCCAGAGAGAATAGTTCCAGCACCTGCTGCTAAGCCACAAACAACTATTTTTGGTCAACACTACACCATTGCTCCAAATGTGAATTTTAATGTTCCATCTCCAATTGTGACCCTTGCACCTGTTACAACACAGCAAAGGCAGTTATTATTACCGGCTAAGTTGATAAAATCAGAACCTATTGTATATTCTGGTAGACAACAAACTATCAATACGACTCCAGTTCAGCATCAAATACATACTTTAGTAAATACTGGCAATGGCACAGTACTCGCAACAGGTACAATCACTAATTGTATTTCAATATCATTCAAAATATTTTTTATGATTTAACAATAGGTATAAGTAATCACTATAACTTAAAAATATATTTTTAATTTATTATTTCAGGAATACCCTTGGTACTTGATACAGAAAAGGTACAAATTAACAGAATAAACACAAGTAGTCATGTTACTGTTCCAAAAGTTAAGGAAGTAAAGCGCAGTGCCCACAATGCAATTGAACGTCGGTATAGAACATCAATTAATGATAAAATCATTGAACTTAAAAATATTGTTGTTGGAGTTGATGCAAAGCTTAACAAATCAGCAATTTTGAGAAAAACAATAGATTACATCAGGTAAGCCAAGATGTATTTTAAAAATTTCTAGTGAAATCGTGTCAAACATGTTTTCCGTAAAATTTATTATTGGTGACATACGATCCATTCGATACAACAAATCCATTAGATTTCTTCAAAACTCGAACGCCAAATTAAAGGCGGAAAACATGTCTCTGAAGATGACTGCGCAAAGACAAAACCTTCGTGAGCTTTTGGTGTGTGGCGAGCTTACTCCGCCTCGTTCGGATACGAGTGAACCATCGTTGTCACCAGCACCAGCACCTATGTCACCACAATCACCTCCACCACCGGTTATCAAGGAAGAACCCGAAGTTATGCAGAATCTACGCAAACCAACGACGACATCACAGGGCAATGGTATGCCGGATCACACTCGTGTTTCTTTGTGCGCATTTTTGTTCATCTTCCTGGCATTCAATCCACTTGGCTTCGTCATGAATAACATGGTGAGATTCAATTATGATTACTCAAGGAAACTCGAGGGAAGAACGATATTGAATTTTCAAGGTAATTAATTTGGAGGCAAATTTTGATCATTTGAATGCAATTGTATGAATAAAAAACTAATTGTTTTTATGACACTTTGCAGATCATGCCGATACTGAAACGAACGTGTGGAGCAATATGATCATTTGGTTTACAAATACTTTGCTCCTGGTTTTCGGTATGTGTCGACTGTTGCTGTACGCAGATCCAGTGCTACCAGCTGATAGTAAAGTGTCTGTTGAACTTCATCGCTGGAGACGTCAAGCAGAGTTTAACATCTCACGGAACGACTACGAACAAGGCCATCGTGACCTAAGCCAATGCCTCCAGTACTTTTCGCGAAGTTTGCCACTTACGCGGATGGACACCTTCTTTGTAACGATTTGGCAACTATTCCGGCAAATATTGCATCGACTTTATATTAGTCGTTTGGTAACGTTCATTGGCAAGAAGTTCTTTGACAAATCTGAAAGATCGTTGGCGGAAATATCTGCTATGGAAATTTCAACGGTTTATCAGCACATGCTATGCCTGAAGTTGTCTCAAGATTCGAAAGACTCAATTATGCACATTGCACTATCGACTCTCAACTACGCCGAAGCTGCTGGTGATACAATGCCTAAGTCAATGTTGGCCGAGATTTATATCAACGTTGCCCTTTGTTTTAAACAATCGCTTTTCCCATTCGTGCATAAGTTCTATCTTAATAAGGCAAGAAGTATTTTGGCTTCATGTATTGTACCGCAAAAGCTCAAATGGATCATGAACGACGATGGTATGAAATTTTTGGTATCACAGAAATGGAGTTACGGACAGAAAGAGGAGAGCGATTTTACTGTCCAGAATAACAAGTCTGATCCACTGTCTTATGCCGCTAGAGCTTACAGAGAGCATTTAATCAATCAAGGTTTGAGACTATTGGCAGGCACTGTTAGCGATACTCATGCTTCTGGACTTTTGGATATTTCTAAGAAGATCATGGTATCAGCTCAAATTGACTTATGCATTTGTAGTGAGGAGAAGATTGGTGTTACAAGTAAGTGTTTTCAATAAAATAATACTTTTATTTTTTTTTCTGTAGGAAAGTAAAAAGTAATTTGTCTATTTTGCAGAAGTGGAAGACGAAGTTGGATTATGGTGGGGCGCTGTAATGTGTGTAGCCGCGAACTTCCGATTAGGTGAGGAAGACTCTAACGCTTGGAACATTGTCGAAGGGAAATTTCCATTCGAGAAAAATTCACAACTAAACAACGGAAATCCTTTGCCACATGCTGTTTTGCTACTTCTTCAATCGGCAAGATGCACGTCCAAGCATACAACGATGCGTCTTGTAGATCAAGCTAGTACATTTCTAGAACATTCGACTGTTTATAACAATTGTAAACAACAATCATCTCAAAACGTTTTGGTAAGTTGCTGAGAATTTCAGAGAACTACTTTTTTTATTTTTTCTTCACTATAGAAGATGAATAAAAGCTGCTCCGATGGTGCATTGTAGTTGCATTGCATTGTTATTCGAATGTGCAGTACTCCTGCAGTGCAACCCTTGTGGCTGGCTATCACAACGAATCAATTTTACAATTATTATTTGTGTTTATGACATTTCACCAATACATGATCGCATGACTTTGTTTTCAATAAATAATTTTAATTTTAGCTTACCGAGCTGTGGGTATGCGATTGGTTGTTGGAGATGAGGACAACGCTTTGGGAGGAGTTGAATGCAGATATCGAAAGACCGACTATCAATTCTGCTCTCGTTGGTTTTCAACGAGATCTCGCGTGTATGCGGCAGTTGTGTCAGCACATACCGGTGAGTATATCAATGAAAATATGCATATCTTATCTAATGTTTGTAAAAGAACGTCGATACTCAATTTAAACAATAAGTCATTACAGTCTGTTCTACCGCGAGTTTTCTTATACGAAGCAACAGCAAGGATTATGGCCGGCGCTACACCGGTCAAAACTCAGATCCTTCTAGATCGAAGTTTGCATCATCGAAACTCCCGCTCCTCGATTATATGTGGAAAGGATCGATCGCACGATCAAGGTAGCGGCGAACGTGAGCATGCTGCAGCTTTGTGTTTAGCTTGTAGACACTTACCTGTTCTGTTATTGGCTTCACCTGGCGAACGTGCTGGTATGCTTGCCGAGGCTGCTAAAACACTAGAACGTCTTGGTGATAAGAAGAGACTACAAGAATGTTATGAACTGATCAAACAACTGACACCAGCTATTTCGAATTAAAAATAATTAATTAATATTAAGATTCTGATAGCCTCACCCTGATATTAAGCAATTTATAAATGTTTGGAAAAAGGAAAAAAAAATTTAAATAAGTGTTTTAATTAGTTATACTGCCTAGCTATAGTATCTTATCTCCTTTGTGCGATGATGTGTAGTGTATAGAGTAAAAATTAATTTTTTTGTCTACGAGATTAATATGAATTTTGTGTTGAGAATGATAATAGTAAGTCTGCACTTTGTCATTCAGCTGATAGTGCTGTACATTTATTGTGAACTTAAGGCGTAGGTCTTATAGTGTATATATAAATGTGTGTTTGTGCGCGCGGGCGTGTGTGTGTGTGTAGAGCGTGAGCATATTTCCAAAGCGTCCGCATTCAATAGAAGTAGGTTCCTCTTACCTGCTATTAGAATTTGTTAACATAAAGACTCTCCCTCTCTTTCTTTCTCTTTCCTATATTATGAAATGAGAACAATTTTAGTAGTGGTACAGACTTATATAGTTCCAACATACATTTGTTTTCTTTTGATATTTTTTGCGTACTATATATTATAGATTGTATTCTGTTCATCTTACTACGTAGATTTAGACTGGTTAGATGTGAGTATTTATTGTTTTCATAGGGTACACTTGGGTGCAATTGTACTAATTGTTACGGTTATTTTTATTTCCAACCGAGAAATTGTCGGGAAAATATGTATAAGAAATGATGAGTCATAAATCAATCGATAAATTCCATAAAAATTATATATTTTTAATCTTCGTCGTTTACTACATTTATAACTTTCTTTTTTTCTTCTTACCACCACTCATTGTAGATATATCATAATCAAAATAATGTATATTATTTCATTTATTATATATATATATATCATTTATTATATATATATGTATAATAGTCTTTATAAGAAAAAAATGTTAGCGTCGTTCGAGTGTTATTTCCTTAACAATTAACAATCTATCTAAAATGGTATCTTACAAAGGTAGCTTCAATAGAAAGCGAAAAAATACATATTCTCTTTCTCTTCGTCTCGAGAAGTCATGAACAATATACATAGTCTTCCCGAGATTCTCTCACTATAAATTTATTCACGAGATAAGGAAAGTCTTATTTACTTGCATTGCTCACAAAAAAGAAAGAAAAAAATAAGAAATCTCGACGTATTTTTTATTCTTAAATGCATAACAATGTGATCTTATCACATTTACGTTTCTCCATTACAAACTAACACATTTTTATACTTCAACGCCCGGACACTCATTATGTTTAATCATCATGCGCGCACGAAAAAAAGAACAAATTGAGAAAATCTTGCATAAGTATCTAAAGCTACACTTAATCGTTAACACATACAAATTAAGATAAATAAAAAATAGTGTAACGCTTAAATTGTAAAGACAAAAAAACCAACACATTGAGCGTAACAGTTTTTCACCTTCGCCATGAAACATACAGCCGTACGTACAATGGATGAAAATACGTGAATTTATCTCCCTCACACACAGATACTGATAAAAATATATATAGTCCTCTGGATGCTCTCCATGTACGAGTTATTATGTAGCGTGAATGTCGGTGATCATCTGCGTGATGCCGAGCTCTCGCTCTCTTTCCGCGCGTTCGTTACGTCAGTGTAGTCGATAAAACATCCACGACCTTGTCCGTTACTCGCTCGATAGCTGCTGCTCCTAAACAGGTGTTAAAGATGCCTTAATTTAATTTCACACATTGCAATACTATGTCAAATAATTATTTAATATTCGTTCAGTCGTCGACAGTGTGCTCATCAATTTTCCTGCTCTTTTTATAATTTCACACGAAATCATTAAAAACAGCAGACATGTGCCGGAACAAATTGACATGAAGCCAAAAATCAAACTTTCAGTAATTAAAGTTTAGACAATCGACTTTTCGAAGGTCAATGACAAAACTTCAGTCATAAATGCAAAGTACAGAATTTTAATTTGTACGCGAAGAAAGTTGAGATGACAACGAAAACACGATCAACTGTTATCACTCTACAAACAAATCAAGGTTCATTTTATTTTGAAATCATGATAATCTTCGATGAATACTAATTTCATCTGACATTCTTTTAAATTATAGACTCGCCAATCAAGCTTACGTAACGTATCAGTCAACGGTTTATAATATTTATAATTAAATCGAATTATCTCGGCGTTGCTATCAACGAGAGGAAATAATTGACAGATAATATGTAGTTAAAACCGATAATGTAAAGTAAGTTTACCTAGTACATAGTTGTGCTTATCTCCAACCAATGTTTCACTTGCGTGATTATGAATCTCGCCTTGTTCCTCGCCATGGTAGTGGTCTCCGTGCGAGTGTCCGCCGTGCTCGTGCGAGTGGGCAGCTTTAAAAAAATAGAAATGATAAAATTATTTTGACCAGTCCAGCAATTAAAATAAAATCTAAACAAGATTTTTTTGAAAGCAAGAAGAGATCGAATATATCTCGGATGTATCCATCGAACTACGTTTGAATAACCGTTTTTAATGCGGCCATCGTGGCAGCTCAAAGCCAATAATCGTTCGCGCAAGATCCGCGAGACTCGCAACCTATTATTTCGTTAAATAATCCATCAGGGCTAATAGCGAAGATGAGTCTCGCATATGAAGCTCCTCATGACGCACGCTATAGCATATAAGTACGATCAGTCGGCAATCTCATTATCATATGATATGGCCATCGGAAAGAAAAGAAGGAAAAATAACATAGCAAACAGCTCTCTGAGGGTATTACATGTGATTACAAGAGCGTCACTCTTTCGCGCAGCCGTCGTCCTACAAGCAACTTACTAGCGAGCTGAAGTCCAAGCATGAGCGTAAATCCCACGAGGATGGCAGCTAGCTGTAATAATCCACTCTTGTCGTTGGCTCTTTCCCTAGCCAACACCTCGAAGAACACAACGTAGAGCAAGGTACCGGCAGCCATGCCCTGTAGGATCGTCGGCGTCGGCCCCATCGTATCGCTGTCGTTGCGAAAATGACCGAGTGCGAGGCCGATACCGATACCAAGCGGTGTCACCATGGAGAAAACACTCAAATACCCTAAGATCGTGCGGTTGGACGCACCGGCCACGTACAGTTCCATGCCCACGCAAAACGATATGACGAGCTTGTGCGTGGCGATTGCCGCAGCCAGATACACCACCGAGCTGAAGGCAGGCTCCAAACCGACCGCGAGTCCCTCGAATATCGCGTGAAAGGATAACGCGAGGACGGTCAGTAGGCTGCGCATCGAGTGCGAGTGATGGTGGTGGTGGTGGTGGTGGTGTTGGTGATGATGGTGGTGATGGTGATGACGACGGTTGGTCTCTTGCGTGAGTGCAGCTTTGGCTTGTTGCTCGAGATCGATAGCCCGACGTGGCGCGTCGTCGATCGTTTGCCCCGACGACAATAGGAACATTGGCCCCGAGGCCGATTTCGACGTGGGCAACTCTTGATTCATGTTGGCGTCCTCTTCGGCATCGGAAGCGTCCGTTCTCCAAGCACGAGGCTGCACTGTCAAAGAGTTTCTCTGCGCACTGCTGGCCTCGCTGCTGGTGTTGTTGCTGCTGCTGTTGGCGTGACTTCCACCGCTGTTGTTGCATCTGCGTACCGAGACTGTTCGGTAGAGGAGAGCTTCGGACGACTCGGGTTTGCCAGTGAGCGCGGCGTGAACGGTTTCTTCGACTAGATAAACCACGAAGAAACCACAGCAGAATAATAGCTCTGCTAAACTAAGGCTCCCCAAAGTTGCTAATTGGCCGTTGGACTGATGAAGCTCGACGCTTTCCCGTACTTCCGGCGCCAAGTGTAGGAATGTCGTGAATAGCAGAACTCCTCCGCCGAAACACAATAGCAGTGATGTCAGCAGGCCCTGCTACGTATTTAATTGACATGTTGATTTTCCATTGAAAGTTTGCCTTTCTAATTGCCGTACGCTTCGTCGTGACTTGATAAAGACTTTATAAATATATATAAAGAATTTAACGTTTTTAAAAACGCGTGCGACCCTTTACAGACAAACTTCTAAATTTGATTTGGAATACGTGGGAGAGCCGTGAAAATAGAATTTTAGCTCGCGACTAAATGGCACGGAATTCATGAATAAGCAAAATACAATCTGCCTATCGCGTGAATTATAAATAATTCTCTACCCACTGCCACGTCAAGTGTTCGTGGCGCCGTATTTATATTTCCTAGTATCTTTCTGATTGCAACTTGCGTTCGAAAAACACTAACGCCTTTAGGGTTCGTTCGTTTTGCGCGCCAAAGTCGGAATGTCTAGCACTCGTCAAAGCAAGCTGCTACCCGTTATTCCCGTGAAGCGTAGAATACTTCGCTTCGCGAGAGACGTGCATAACGACTCGGCGTACGACACGAGAGAAGAGACAGGAAGCAGCCAATTACTTGGGAGGTGTCAGCGGCAACAGCGGCAACTCCACTCACGCTAAGAGCCGAAGCGGAGGTAAGGGTGGTCGATGCACTGGACACACTGGTGATGGCTCTTCTAGTTTCGCTCTTCTTCATCCGGCATCTGCCTATTATCAGTGGCATCATACCCAAAAGTAACGAGCCGAAACCCAGCACGAACATCGAACCGACTTTTGCCAAGAGAAGTACTATTTGCGGACTTGGTCCGATTGACGTTGGTTGTGTTGTTACCGATGGCACTTCCATGCTGAAGTTTCGAGTGAATTTGTTGTGAATTTATTGTGCTTCGGCTCGAGCTCGATCTCCCAATAAAGTTGCTTACGCTGCAGTCGTCTGTAGCTTACGGAGTAGCTATCACTTGACCGGTAGTTCGATCATTGTTTTTCACCAGGTTTATAACACTTGGTCATTCAGAGACACACTTGAACTTTGGTTTGTCACGTTTTTGGTATTGAAAATCGAGATGTGCATTCGAGTGTTCTGCTTTGTAACGAATAGCGATAAAAAACATTAAACCAACAATTCTCTTTAAAGTTCAAACAGAAAAGCTGCTAGTATGTATCTCCGCGAGCAGCAATGCAACGCAGCTGATTCACCTATGGATTTCAATCGCTCACGAGTACCCTCTCACACTCGTTATATCCCATTATCCAACTCGTAACACAGTAACTTGCAACTTGTCTCTTCGCCAAGTATAAGAGGCAGAAAAGCACGCGTTTTGTCCATTAATTTTAAGTCACATGTAAGAGATTGTTGGTTATAATGACGAAAAGAAAATTAATATACAGTTTTCACCGAGGTGTTAGACCAACGTTACGTAGTTGCTTCTGATCGTTCGTGTAGCTACAAAATCGTCATTGGTTTTTTCCACGCATAACTTTGAGTTTAGCGTAGAAAATTCATTTTCGACAGATACGAAAAAAAAGAGAGAAAAAGACGTTCCAGCTAGAATCGGGCGCGCGCGACCGGTTTTACGAGGGAACAAGTTAATCAGTCGGCGTGGAAGCGAATAATAAAACGTGCGCGACGATCGTTATTGTTCGCGCCGCCTGGAGCTGCGAATTATTGTCTTGAAAATTCGTCATCCGCTGGTGTGCCCGTGCCTTTTTATTTTACATAACGACTGCATGACTTGTGTCATTGGCCATCGGCGTTTTACTGTTATTGGAAATGTAGTTAAAAAGATAAAAAAGAAAACGCTGCACGTCAGTTACGAAACGTCCACTTTTACTTTCCGGAACTACGGATTGAATCTCGCGCACAAAGGAACACGAAGCGATTGTCACGTGAAGTGTACCATTGTGATTACCACTTCTATTGTTGGTTTTTCGTTAATTCGGAGAGATAACAGGTTTAGCCTACGTCGAAAGGTTGTTGATTGTACGTCGGAATACTGCAACGAAGTAAGTAATCGATTGAATTTGTCAGGCCGCGTCTCGTATCCGCGAGTGCGCGCCGTCTTTGCGACACGTCAACTATTTCCTTATGAGATAAAGTGGCCGTACCTCGGGCCGAATTTTACGGCAGCGATACGCGTTGTTGTACTCTCCGATCAACGGTCACTACTGTGCTTTTGGAAATCAACTCTTGCTACGTTCGCTTCGATTGACAGCATTCGTTATTTCTATTTTGGCGACGATTCTATTCACGGATGGCGATGCCAGCAGCATTTCATAATCAATATCGAAATCTCTAGTTAGTTGTTCGCGAAAGGAAACTATATTGTTGAATTTTCTAGTTGAAGCAAGAGATAAGGCTCAAGGTCAGCGTGAATAATCGAATCGAACTAAATAGCAACTAACAATAAAGAGTGCAGCTCGCCGTCGCGCGCCTTTGCGCCTTTCGAGCACGGCAAACTGTGAAAAAACCAAATGTAATTCTTTGTTTTCCAAGGGTAAACGGTAATCGATAACTATAAGAAAGAGCGCGTCGATCCGGTAGTACATTTACCTTAGATAAGAAATCAAGTAAGAAATCTTCCAACTCGCCAAGTACGCGTACTCAAAAGATTATACATCGATTGAGAAACGTTCAAAAAATATACCGAATACCGGCACCGTTCCAAGTCCACTACGAGATTTATTCGAGCCTAGCTTTCTTTTCTCCTTTTTCTTGTTCTTTTTCTTTTCGGCTACCGGGAAAGCGTTCAGTTGCGTGTTGTGATAACGCATCGCGCACACGAGCGACCGATAATTACATGTGCCACTCGTGTGCTGGATTCCAATTGAGTATTTTTTTTTTCTTTCCTCGCACCCGCAGCTCCCGCGCCCTACCGTAGTATAGTTCTTATCTTTCGTAGTCTATTCGATAGCTACATCTTCGCGCGAATCAATGATTTTTTCACTTCCCTCGAAATTCGATTGACTATTCAGAAAGCCGACAGATCAAACGACACCTTATTATTATTAATTGGAAACGTAATTTTATTAGAAGATTGTTTTTAATCGTTTTCTAGACACTGCGGGTTCATTGGTAAAAACTGTATGTACAAATAGCAGAGCAACTACGTATACGAAGCTAGTCGTCTCAGTAAAAGAAAACTGGAGTATAGCGTCCTAAAAATAATCAGCGATTTCTTCATTCAAGTAAGAAAAATGTATTTCCGGAATGTCTTACCAGAGCGGATAAAAGAATAACTACTAAAGCTTATTTTCGAATGATATTTATAACGAGCAGGACATTAACGAACATGCTTGCAGCGAGCAACAATTGTTGACAAATGTTATTAACGCGCGCTTTTAGAGCGTCTCAACAATTGAATAAGCACGTATTGTTTCGGCGAGCTTCTGTGGGAAAATGATTCACTTTGCGGGCCATTAAGAAGGTGGCGTTTATCTCTATATTATGTGATTACCCATTTGAAAATACTCGAAAATGGTTGACACAGAAAAATGCAATATCGACAGTCTAGTTTCAACTAGATCACGAAAGACACGAGGAAACGATGAGGTAATTTTATCGCGCCACACTTAATCCCTCGCACGTATAATCGTTAAGAAACAGCACGTGAGTTCAAAGTAAAAAAACGGTGTCTCTTCTCTCCGCAAAGAGCTCGCACGAAATTCACGCACGAAAACGAGACGTCCGCAACTTTCACCGCATCGCGCGCGCGGCTTCCCGCGTGCTGCGTTTTCACCTGCCACGCGGAGATACACACGCGCAGCTCGCGAATGCACACCGCGAACTCACCGGTTCAGCTATTTACATGCGTATTCAACACGCTCCGACAATGTGACATACAGTCGAGCGTCGTCTTGCGATATTATAGGAAGCGCGTGTGTGGCGGCTGCTGCTCGTAGTGAGAGTAGCCGAGCGACTGACTGACTGCGACTTGACTGAACTAACAGCGGGTGTCCGTGTGTGTCCGCGCGTCCGTGTGTCCACGAGTGTGTAGGAGAGCAGCAGGCAGTCAGACAGCAGCAGCAGCAGCACCAGCACCAGCACCAGCAGCAGCAGCAGCAGCAGCAGTGAACGGAGCCCGAAAACCCAGCGTCACGTGGCTTACGCTCGTATAAGCGATCGATGCCGCCGTCGAGAGAGCTCAAGAGAGCCCAAGAGGGCACGGCAGCTACCTTATTTTCAAAATCTTCCTTTGAGGAGACTCGCGCTGGCAAAAGCGGAACGAGCAAGCTGTTGCTTGCGCCTAATTATAGGGGGCTTTTCTACATATTAATCGATGCTCGAAATGCTTCGTCCAGATTTTCGCGCAACCCAGGCAAATATTAAAGCGCGCATGCAATTGGGTCATTATTATCTTTCGTACACCTACAGGGTTTCATAAAATACGCGTTTCCTTCAATCTCGTGTACTCGAGTGCGTACTCGACATAGTTAACGAACGCGACTTCATTCGCAAGTTCACGAGAGAGAGATTAATTAAACGCAAGCCATCTCCAATGCGTCCCGACCTTCCCAATGCTACAAGGTCAAAGGTCCTCATCTCTGCTTGCAGTAGTGCAAAACAACGAGGGCAGGGTCTTCTTCCCCTTGCAGCATAACTTCTCTGACTGTATCGGGTGGCGCACATCGATCTGTATGACCCTGAAGCGTCGTCTTGTGCGTGCGACGTGCTTTTTGTAACCGCGCGAGCGCAATTTCGCGCTGGGGAAGTCTATTACGGCTAATCGGGACGACTACGCTACTCTCGCGTGTGCGCGTGTGCGCGTATGCTCGCGCGCGCGTACCTGCAATGATCGAGACGACGCACTCGCGCGTTGCGTCAATCTTTTGAACACGGTGGGTGGACTTGGTTTTTACGAATTTTTTTCTTCGCGCTACACAAAAATCAGAACTCCTGTTGGATAAGTATTATGCTGACTGTTGCGTGGGACATATTATGCGAACGCGATGATACTTGTTGAATAATATTCGACTTTTTGTAAAGCATCTGAAAAAGAGATTCTTTTCAAGTGCATTTAATATAACAAAAATCGAAGAGATATTTACGAATTACAGGATTCTACACATGCCTATTATCAAACATTTATGAAATAAAATACGCTGCTTCGATTTTCGATAAACTGGTAAAAATGAATTCTACAGTAAGTCGGTTGTGATGAGCTGTTATACAAAAATACTTCGGCAAAGATATCGCTTATCTCGTCGTTGAAGTAAAAATAATGCGTCGAGGAATGTGTATTATCGGACCTTAAAAAAAGTTACGAAATACTTTGTACAATTAATTTCCTGTCTGTCTATACGCAAAATCAAAACTCAACGTCAAAGCGAGAATAAATTGCATTTCCGATCGCGGAATTACAGAGAAAAGAGGAAAAAGAAAACTCAGCGGCATAATCTCGTTAAAACCGATCGGCAATATAAAATGTGCGCATATAAATCAGATGCTCCGCTAAATTAAGAACAGGTACTCGTTGAAGCACACAATAATAGCTGTGTAATCAATAAAGCGAAGCAGCAGGATATATATGTATATATATATACATGTATATATATATATATATATGTACATCAGTCGGCAGCGTGTCGGGTATTCCAAAACAAACATACAATATCGTCCGCGAGGAATCTCACCGCGACGTGTGTAGATATATCCTTTAAAGTCCATTAAAAGTTTTGCGTGAACGATATCGCGTGCCAATAGGCATGCATCTTTTTTTATACAGCATATAGCCGCAGAATGTGTATAAAGCGCGCGAAAGTAGAGCAGCGGCGTGTATGAGCTGCCATTGATGAAGCGTGACTTCGATTTTCCGCGCTATACACATTGTCAGTCGCGATAATGCGTTGCATTAAACAATGTGCTAAAAGTTTTGTTCCACGCGCGCCGATTATGATTTCCGGCCGTAGGGCAACGAAGTAATCGTCGAGTCCCAAATTCGGCGGACAGAGATTATATCGCCTCTGAAAAACGCGCAATCGCCAGATAAACCGGCCGGATAAGCAAGGCTGATTCACAAAGACAAATCTGAGTGTTTAAATGTTTGTCTTTGTTGGTCGCTACCGTTATTTCTCTCCGATTTTTTTTCTTACGTTGGATCGACGGCCAGTGCAAAAATTCAATCGATCGATAGGCGTGTGACGCGCATTATTTTTACCGTTGCAAAACGGCCCCGCGCCACAGCGACGACTGCGACCAGTGCCACTAGCGCGACCAATTCGCCGAGTCCTTTTTAATGGAAACAAAGGCAATTGCCGGCAATTTTCATGTGCGCGCCCGGCCGAGCTGTTATAAAATATCGGCGCGTCGACTGCTAATGAAATTTATTATATTCCCTCGCTAAGCTGTTATCGCGTGAGGATTCGATTCGCTTAGCATGTATGGCTAGCGCATGCGTGCGCACTTTATGGGTAATAGTTCGTAGACTTGTTTACGAGGCGTCAGCTATTTTCTGCAGTTAATTTTAAACGCGTATAATTAATGTTCGACGCGTCGGACTTTCATTGATTTTCCCGAAGTAATTGCATTCCTTTGTGCGCCTACGGCTTTGATTAATTTCCACCGCACGGCTTTTATAATTGTTTGGGCCTCTTTCTCGTGTTTTGGATTTATCATTGTTGAGGCTTTTTCAAATATTCGACAAATCAGCTTTATTATAAATTTTACAATTGCTATATATATTCGATAATTACATCGATATCCAGTACTTTGACTTGCGATCCGATGACATAATCAATTCAAAATCGTCCGACAAAATCTAATTTATAATACGCACCGGCCCAACCAGTTTGAAACGCATGTACTTAGTGTGACTGACTTTCTGTCTATCTCACAATTTTCTCACTCTCTCGCTTGCTAACGAATATTTGAAACGATTACTACAAAGCTTGCGATCACATCAACCTGTGCCAAGTCAACGTACGAAAGAATTGCAGCTTATTGAATCTCGTCGGAAGTTTCCTCGCATACCTAGCAAAATCGCAAGAAGAGAGATCGTCCACGAGAGAAGGACAGGGAAAAAAGCAGCCTAATTAGCCGATAACGCAAAAAGTAGGGAAAAGCTTTTCGAGCGGCAAAGTTCAGTTGTTGCGCGCGACGAAAAGGAAAGAGAAAAAAAAATCAAGTCACGTAGGCGCGCGCGAGCGAGTCTGCGTAATTTCTCCAACGGCGCCACACACTCAGGTGAATTTCTTCGAGCGGGATCTGTGTTATTGGGTCAGTCCTTTCTATATCATCCCGCGTTTAAGACAAAATAAAGAAGTACGTGAAAGACGCGAGAGAGAACCGGCGCGGAAACTCTCTCGTACGTTGAACTTTACTAATACGTATGCGCGAACGATTAACGACCCATTATACGTATACAGCTGTGACAAGACTGTGGCTTCGCTGTAGAGGCGTCAAATACTACCGGATCTCGTCTCGAGAGCATTATACACCTCCAAGGTCTTCCTCGTTGCTTCAAAAAATGCTTTTTCTTTTTCTTTTTTTTCGGCGCACGCGATGAGCTTGCACGGGTAATGACGAGTGCATAATTAACTTTTTGCCCTGCTACCACTGGCCTTTCACGCTTGAAGCACCATTTTACTCGGGACGATGGATATTCTTCGCCCATTGTGCGTGACCTCGCCAAGCTTAATTAGCTTGACGTAGTTCAAGAGATAAACATCGATATTTCAAAATCCGCACCGTTTTTTTTTTGTTTTTTTTTGTCTTTTTTTTTGTTTTTTCGGTTGATCCCTTTCAATCTACGGAACGAACAATGATTCACGGGCGCGGCAAACGAGCTACCCAGCAGGACGTCAATGTCAAAAAAAAAACGAAAATCGTAGAAAATCCAGAAGCGTGATTTGCAGCGAAACTCAACAAGTCAAAATGTTGAAGCAACGTTGGCATTGAGCTTAGGCGCGATCGCGCCCTGGACCAATTGTCAACTTGTAGATGGCGTAAATTGCCCAATGTCCTCTCAACGATCTCCCTCTCCGTCGTCGCCCCGCTTAATGACGAAATTTCCTGCAGCTTTCTTATTATCCATTATTTCCAGCAATTACCTTGGACTACTCTAATCGCGCGGAGATTCAATTTACATAGTGTTTTGCAGGGAATAACCGCTCGGGAAAGAACCTAGAACGTCACGCTGGGGAATCACTCGTTGAGCTGTCAGTTTTGTTAGCATGTGAAAGGTATGCGAACCGCAGAGGCGCGCGGCGTAGTGAATGAACGCGCACAGTCACTTGACTCTTTCACTCGCTTTGCGTACGTACGTGTCATTATCATTTCTCAATGTGTCCTGTCGCGCGGCGCGTTCTCGTCGTGTATTCGTCTCTCGCAAACGAGTTCTCAATATAGCGACGTCTATGTACCCGCGATTTCAGAGTCCCGACAAGATGTTATTTTTGCTAGACGCTGCTTGAATAACGAGCTTAGCTGGTGCTTTATAATACCTCATTCCAACGCGAGATCGTAGTTTAGTCTTTTTGCGGAAGATGCGTCTGATAGATCACGTCCGTTACTACTGAAAAGTCACTTCTTATGTTTTGTATTCTTTTGCGTCGTTGGGGATCAAAGAACTTCTGACTAAATGAGATTTTTACAATAGTACAGAAAATCACAGTAGAAGAGAATAAATAAGATAAGATAATGGGATTTCTTCGAAGTATAAGTTTTTCTCACACTCCAAGGTCGACTGGATTTATGTCACAGCCAGGTTGTAAACATATATCATCTTTGTAATAACGCGAGATAGAGAAAGTTCAATCGGGACTTTGCAGACATTTTTCGAGGAGATTTGTAATCGCTGCATCTCACAATGTTTGCTCGCTGCGGCCCACTTTTGTAGGCATTCTCTAGATAAAACGTTAATCTGACTGTGTTGAATTTGATTTTTTGCACCCGAGAGATATTTGATCATTTTCTTCTTCGCCATTACTCATGTATATATACATAGCGTACTCACTCAAAACTTGCAAGCCGAACATGAGAGCGAAGCCAAGGATGATTGACAGGTACTGCAAGAGGCCGGTACGGTGCTTGTGCAGGATCTCGAAAAACACCACGTACAGCAGTGTTCCCGACGCCAAACCCTGCAAAATTTACGATCGAGCCATTATTTACGGTCATCGTTATTTACCACCAGCATGCAGAGTATCCGGCAAGCATGCGCGCGATCGGTAATTATAATCGATTGCCATGGTTTCATTCATCGGGCAAGATCTACTTTAAACTTTGATTAGCTCCCTGCAACTTTGTTATTAGGTTAAACTCGCATCGTTAGCTGTGATCTTTCACTTTTTTCGTTCGATTGACGGTTTTGGTTTTTTTTTCGCACGCTCTGGTCAACAAACTTTTGACACTGCAGTTGAGAAATCAAGTGCTAAAAATCACGTGAAATTGCTCAGAAAATGGATTTACTAGCTTGTAATTGCTTTTCTCTGCCATTACGCGGAACTCGTAAATACTCTACGAGCCAATAAACATTCAAGTGCACTTTTTTTCTCTCTCTTTTACTTCTTTCAAAAAATAGACTTTTCACCTGTAGAGCGACAGCAGCAGGACCACTGGCAGCAGCACTATTACCGCCAACCAAAATCATACCAATCCCAATACCCAGAGGCGATACCACAGCGAACATGCAGACATAGACGTAGCTGAGTATGGCTCTCGTGCGCGAAGTGATCAGCTCGACACCGATGCAAAATGCGATGATGAACTTGTGTGCTGCCACAGCTCCGAACATGTACCTATAACACGAAATTCATCAAAGTTTTTTTTCATTACGCGCCATTCATCATGATTGCTACGCGCGATATGTAAGAGGCAGCTGAGATTACAAGGTTCTTTGTACTCTCAGAGCGATGATTCAGCTCTCGTGCGTCGTTTTTCTGCAATATTTTTTTCT